CTTAGGCAAAAAATTGGGGGTCGTCCTATACATGCGTAATAGTTTTGTTAGGTTGAACCCGTGCATGATGGGAAGGGCGAGGAGCAACTTTTAGCTTCAGACATGAAAAATATTTACCATTTATTGCCAGTAAACAATGGAAACGTAAAATATGTACCAATTAGTAATGAAAAGTTGTGCAGTTCCTTCAGCAAATGAAGCTCACCAACTTACAATAGGTTAAATTACCTTACAATGTGCTTTCAGTAGTCTATGTTGAAGTTCTTAGCACAGGCAAACTTATCATATCATATACGGTATCACAGTTCTCATTGATCTACAAAAAATACAGGTAATAAAAACCTTTTCGATATTTCACACTTAATATAATACCCGGTAATCTACTTCAACCTCCTATTGTTTACAACGACGCATCACACACCACCAATTGTATCAGCTAGACGGTACACGTGTTTTTCGAATCGTTTTCAGTTAAAAAACTGTTACATCACATGTATATTTTACCTTAACTGTGCCTGAATGAATATATTCTCGGAAATAAATAGTAGTTTTGCTGAAACGTGATATATTTTAATGTAAAATAGGATAAAATACATGACAAAAACAAAAGATTTTACCTAACCTTCCGATGTTCAAGAGAAGTTACTCGTTTTTTTAATACAGTATTACCCCGCCTAACGCGGTTTCACTTAGCGCGTTTTACCGTATACGCGGTGCCTCGCCAGAGCTGAACTTTCACTTAACGCGGGTTTTTTCCACATATACGCGGTGAGTGTCCGGCTCGAGATGCTATTTTTAGATTTGCCCCACCCGCCACCCTGCCTGACTGCCTGTTTTAGCTCATAAAATTCATACAAATTACCCGGCCAGAATATAATTTACATTGCTGGAATTCTTACAATATGATGATCATTTTGAATATAAACATCATAGATTTTGCATTAGACATACAAATTTTAGATAAAATGTTTACTCTGAGTAAATATGTTCTCTTTTGTGCAAAATATATGACATTTATATTCAAAATATTCCTGGTCTTACAAGGAATCCAGCAATGTCAATTGTATTATCCTAACTTTAGTTTGAGGTATTATTTATTAAAATTTAGTGGTTTTCCCCCAAAAATTTCTCAGAGAGGGAAGAGCCAGCAGTGTAGTGTGAGAAGAGGGGGAGGGAGTTGAGTCCATTATTTGAATGGACATTAACTTGGCGACTGTATTTCTCTATTTCTCTTAAGTATTAATTGTGTGCATGTACCATCATAAAATTAAGATGTTATTTTTACTACAACATAGTTATGTGTCGTCAAAAAGTGGAGTTTGGGGGTCGGGCTGGTTTCTATTGGAATTAATCCCATATGTTCTGTTGTTCACTTAACGCGGTTTTCACTTAACACAGTACCCTCTGGGTTTTATTGACCGCGTTAAGTGGGGTACAACTGTAGTTTTGGTTAAAATATTGTTATATTTCAATGGTATCCTATTCATACTGTGCTTGATATAAAGCATTCACGGAAATGTAATATTTTTGCTGAAATGACGTACGTATCACAGTGGAAAGTGGGATAAAATCGTGACGAAAACAATGACTTTCGCTTTCTTTCGCTCAAAAGATGTTACCGTAATCGCTTTTCGAATGGTTTAGTTAAAAACTGTTGTATTACAATAATATTCCCTCCTAATTGACTTGAATAAATACTTGAATGGAAATATACAATATTTTTGTTGAAACTACCCGCGTTTCAGTGTAAAGTGTCGTAATAATAAATGGTAAACAATTTGCCTTCGGCACTCGTGTTTCATGCACGGCGAGCCTCAGTTTATAGGACGTAGAGCGTTTTTAGTGAAGGTTTTGTTGTTCCATTACCCTCAAAAACGTGGGTCGAACTATAAACGAGGAATATCGTAAATTAACTATTTCTTGGTCAAAAATTCAGGGTCGACCTATAAACGAGGGGGGGTTATAGACGAGTATATACGGTAGCTAACAATTAAGGGTAAAAAAAAGTGAGGTCGTGTATGTAAGTGAGCACATGTGTAAACATATCGTCATTACTCTACATAAGAATATGAAAGCAACACTTATTTACTGTTCATATATGTTTTAATTAATGTTTCTGAATTAAAAAAAAATATCTACCCACCAGTGGTGGTAAAGTTGAAAACATAAGGACAGCCAATGTTGTTGTGTGTGTGTTTTTACTTGGATGACGAAGTTGTATTTAAATTTGGAAGATTTTAATTTTGTGGGGTTTTTACAGTCTAAATGGGTATCCAAATATGAGAGCCTACTATAAATAGGTGTCCAAATATGAGAGCCTACTGTTAATAGGTGTCCAAATATGAGAGCCTACTGTTAATAGGTGTCCAAATATGAGAGCCTACATATAAAGAAACAAACATTCCTGCATTTGAGACCAGCAGACAACCTTTAGCAATTCCTCAATAGATGGCGCTGCCGCACCACTGCCATTAGTAAACAAACCACACAGCAGCAAGGGTTTTTTTTTTTTTTTTTTGCAATATTTCAACAATATTAGTTAAATCAATAGTTTTATAGTACTGTATAGAGAATACTTGTAATTTTTAAGTACTGTAATGAGGTAACAGTCTTTGTAAGGGGCTGATTTCAAAAACCTCTGCTACAACTCATCGACTAGCATCCTGGAAGACGCATGGCAATTTTCGAGGTATATTTTTGTCATAAAAAGTGCGTCTTTTAAGCCGAAAAATACGGTATATATATACACATACATACACATACTGTATACATATACATTAGAGTGGAATTTAAAAACATGAGTATAATGGGGGAGCAGTACAAGATGGGTTGTACAGTAATAAGGTTGAACAAGAGGACAGAGCTTTCAGGATTATGTCTAGTTGGCAATTATGTTTATTGCAATGGTAATTACTTATTTATTTGTCACTTGTCAATGACCACAAACCCATAAAACAAGCTCTTACAACTCTCTGGAAAATGTTAGTTCATCTACATTCTACATTTCAAGAAGCATTAATTACTCACCAGCAAATTCCAATAACTTGTCCGGAATAAATATTTCCTCTTCTTTAAAAGTGTTGAGGTAGATGGAGGCAAACTGCAGGATTCCCTCCATCAGCTTGGCATTATAAGGCTCAGATGGTTCCTACCAACATTATCGGGGTTAAGTATATATTACACGATTAATAAAATAAAATACATAAACCTTTCGTTAATATGTACAGTCGTAAATAAAAGTTGGCCCCCGTGGTGACACCAAGTAGCATGAATGAATCTCCTGGTGTGGGTGTGCTATTTTGTCTTACATGGAGTCAATGCTGCTACAGCTTGGAAGGCAGAGGGAGGGGGCAAAATATTATTCATAACTGTACAGTATAGCCTCTTCAACTTCCAACTGTTAGTCTGCATTGTCAATTCACACTCTCCGTGCGGTGTGAACCCTGGGAGTATCGATTCATGGATCTGAAGCATTCACAATTGATCAGGAGAGGGGGGGCCAGAGGATGACTGGGGCCGGTGGGTGATGGGGTAATTCAGGGTCAGAGTGTAGGGGGTGGGAGAGAGTTAGGTGTAGTTACACCATGCAGAATACATTAAACAAGGCTATAAATAATAGGACAAAACACAAATTATGAGTAGAATATTTTACTGCACATTAGGGTGATATTCCCAGGTTGAGCTACAGGTCTGAACCATTTTACGGATGTTTACTGTCCAGAATTGACAAGATAATATGCAACTGTGATAACACATCCCCCCCCCTCCCAAGTTGCACACACATGCATCGGTCACCAACTGTGATAACACATCCCCCCCCCTCCCAAGTTGCACACAGCCATCGGTCACCAACTGTGATAACACATCCCCCCCCTCCCAGTTGCACACACATGCATCGGTCCTGCTGTGATAGCACATCCCCCCCCCTCCCCAGGTGCACACACATGCATCGGTCACCAACTGGCATGATAACCACATCCCCCCTCCCAAGTTGCACACACACCATCAGTCTGTGTGATAACCCCCCCCTCCCCAAGTTGCACACACATCGCCGGTCACCAACTGTGATAACATCCCCCCCCCTCCCAAGTTGCACACACATGCATGGGTCACCAACTGTGATAACATCCCCCCTCCCAGGGTGCACACACATGCATCGGTCTGTAACTGTGATAACACATCCCCCCCCCTCCCAAAGTTGCACACACATGCATGGTCACCAACTGTGATGTACATCCCCCCCCTCCCAAGTTGCACACACATGCCAGTCACCAACTGTGTCTTTCCCATCCCCCCCCCCCTCCCAAGTTGCACACATGCATCAGTCACCAACTGTGATAACACATCCCCCCCTCCCCAAGTTGCACACACATGCATCCCGGGGTCACCAACTGTGTCTTACATCCCCCCCCTCCCAAGTTGCACACACATGCATCGGTCACCAACTGTGATAACACATCCCCCCCCCCCTCCCAAGTTGCACACACATGCATCGGTCATAACTGTGTGCTTGTCCCCCCCTCCCAAGTTGCACACACATGCATCGGTCACCAACTGTGTGCCCACATCCCCCCCCTCCCCAAGTTGCACACACACATGCATCGGTCACCCAACTGTGATAACACATCCCCCCCCCTCCCAAGTTGCACACACATGCATCGGTCACCAACTGCATCAGTCACCAACTGTGATAACACATCCCCCCCCCTCCCAAGTTGCACACACATGCATCGGTCACCAACTGTGATAACACATCCCCCCCCCTCCCAAGTTGCACACACATGCATCGGTCATGCAGCAGTCCTCCATGTCCTTCCTTCCTTCCTCTTGAAACCCAAGCAACTCTCACTTACTTCATGGGTGAGAGGTGGAAGGGCTGGGGCCTCTACATATGGTGTCATTTACGACGGGGATGACTTAATGAATTATGGATGCATTGTAATCTAATTACACAAGCATCGTCATTGCAATAGTGTAATGAACAATAAAAACATATCCAGGAAGCTGTCACAAACACAATTAATTTAGAAAACAATACAGTATAACCTCAGATGTGTTGTCTAATGGTAGACCCTGCTGCCACATGACATTACAAAAATTGTGACCAAGTCCCAGGTTGCTAATCTGACTTTCTGCCTTATTTACACACAATTTCAGGGTCTCAATTGTTTACCTTACTTTGACAACACAACATACATGTATCGTTTCTCGCTATTAATCTTTTTCTTTTCTTTTCTTACGGTCATTTATTATTATTATTATATTATATCTTTATTTAATATTTTTCTAATTTTTTATTAATTATTATTAATATTATTTTGCCCCCAGGCCCTGATGTGGGTTATTGACCTGTGCCCTGGTGGGCTAATCATGTAAAAAAAATCAAGCATTTAACCATCCAAGACTCTAAAGCAACCAAAATATTTTGGTGTGATCAATAACCAGTAAGTAAAGTCTTATCACATTTAAAATATCAAGAAAATCGGTTTGAATATGGCGCCGCTTCGTCCATGGTTTCATTTCTGGCCACAGAGGTGCTGTGTGTAACATCCATGTTGGCCAAACACACTGGGCACTGCCATTACAGTGCTCTTTGTGAAGAAAAACTAGTTTTAGTGGTCTTAAGGAACTTTAGTGTTTAAGAAACTTAACAAGCCTGATAAAGAGTAGTGAATTAAGTGATTACTGTACCTATATTTAATCAAGAACACCATCACCACAAACCACACTCATGATAAAGCCTAAAACAATTGACATTATTTCTATCATCATTTCTGGTTTCATATGCCTCATATTTATTGAGTGGCTTTCACACGCATTCAGTTATAGGGGGAACATTGAAATTTGCATAATGAATATATAAAATCCATAAAATAAGTTGTATACACACATATAGAAAGGCATTTGTAAAGGAACTATTCGTATTTGGAAATGTATGCGTGTTGCTAAAACATTGAAGAAATTGGAAAGGGCAATCCTCTTCACATGGCACTGAAACCTTACCCTCCCCTATGGCCGAAGTGTTGGTCGGCAATTTTTATTGAATAATCTCCCTACCTATGATTTTAACAACTGTCCAACTAATGTTTTAGGCATCAAGTTTAACAAAGGTTATAAACATGCCGTTTCTCAACAACTTGTCAATTATTCACAGTGAATATGTATGAGGTTTAGTAGACAACCAATCGCAGGTAAACTAAGGTGTTTTATGTCCACCGGGCTTGAGACTGGCAAAGGTGTACCAGGTATATAAAGATGGGAAGAGACTGCAAACTTGACACAACTGGTTATGTATGATCACACACTGTATTTTATGAATGATAATAATATATTGTAGTCATTAACACTCACAGGGTTCACACAGCACAGTGAGTGTAGACTGACAATGCTGACTGTAACAGTTGGAAGTGGAAGAGACTGTACATTTATAATTTCTTCCATACTTTCACTCATTAGAAGCTCTTCCATCAGTTGTTTTAGCATAGAGGCCATTATATCAAGGTTCATTAGATTTGAAACCTTCATATAATGGACTATACCTGTTCATTAGTTTGATGTCTGTTAAGTGGAGATTTTACTGAAATAACTGGTGTTTGAATATTATATATCATCCAAACATAAACAAGCTTCAACTTTCTCAAAATAAAACTGAACTTACCTTAATCGGTAGATATTGATGGCCCTGGCTGGCAGATCCTTCAATTTGTGGTGGATCTTGACAGCTCTGGCTGACTGATCCATCATTCTGTGGCGGGCCTTTACTTTGCTCATCAGGAGGCTGGTCAGGCTCCACCACGTCTCCCTCAGGTCCATTATCCTCCACTAATTTTTTAAGTTGAACATCAGTCCAAGAATGAAGACTGACCCATATTTGTTCCTTTTGTTTGCGATTTAACTCAATGAGAATTTCTTCTAGATCAACAGTGCTACGTTTACTTCCCTGAGACAAAAAGTATAAAATAATTAGACAAAAATAGAGGTAAAATTATCGTTTCGGTCATCCAGCAATTTTTGGGGAATTTAAGTTTTGGAATCAGTAGTTTGAGAATTCTAAGACACCTTTATTCTATAGCATTTCTTCTGTTCGTGATTACTTTCAGAGAAAATCGTAAAAAATGGGGTTTGGGTTGGGAAAAATCACAAATACAGTAGTAATTTGTGATAGAAATGAAGGTCAGAATAATCCAAAACCTAACCTTGAACCTCACTTTAATTAGACTGGGAAGACTCCGAGTTAGGGTCATGAGATTCTTCTCCTAGTCACCCACAGGTTGCATTGCCTAGCACCTCTTTCTCTGACTAGGGGTGGGGGGGAAGCCTACTGGTATACCAAGCTGTGATTGGTTGATCCAAAATCATACCAACCAATCAATGTCCAAAGAACAACTGGGCATGTGTAAGACTCTAGCGCATGTGTAATGAGCATAGTAACCAATAAGCGAACACACAGGAGCTCACTTGGACGATTGTAACAATAACAAGAACTTGGAAAAAATAAGATTTCCAACAATTTATTGCAATTTTCTCTGAAAGTAATAATGAACAGAAGAAATGGTACTGAAGAAAAGTGCCTTAGAATTCTCTAAACTACTGATTCCAAAACGTAAAATCCTAAAAATTGCTGGATGACTGAAATAACACCAAAATAGAAATTACAAAAGTCTACACCACAAGCTGATAAAGTAGTGGAAACATATAGTACATGTATCCTTGATAATCGTTGACGTTAGGTTCCAGAAAACTACCATGATAAGCAAAAGAGTACATATCGAAACACACAACATATGGGAAAAATTAGTTTTGTCCCACGACCCCAAAGATGCACACTAAAGATATAATACTAGTAACATATCTTTACTAATTAATGAATAACAAATAAAAAATGTACAGTACTGTACAATATTGTATTATCAATGAAAGTCACAGTAGAATGAGAGGCAGAGTGTCAGTGAGATGCAGTGGGTGGGAGGGAGGAAGGGAGGAAGGAAGGTGGGAGGTGGGTGGGATATTGTGCAGTGGACATTGTGCTAATCTGCTCTGGTGATAATAGAGGTAGTGGTGATGATCATGGAGCTGGTGCTAGAGGGAGAGAATAAGTGGTGAGGAGATGATGAGTCACTTGGTTTGTTTGGAAACACTGGCTGCCGCACTGCCAGACACAACAGAACAGCTGATGTCCACCCACAAAATTGATTGTACAGTAAGTCCTCGCTTAACGTCGGTCGGCTTAACGTTGTTTCAGTACTGTGTCACTAAACTTTAGAGACCAAAAATTCGTTTAACGTCCCAGTGACTCGGTACAACGTCGTTTTGCATCGTCATGGACTACTTTTTACAGCGGTTCACCCTCCCTCGTCTGGCCGCGGAACGTCACTGAATCCCCAAGCGCCGCCAGTCTTTGTTAGGCTTCCACAGTGTTCTTGAGTGTTTAAGTGTTTTTGCTCTTAATACTGTACTGTAACCATTCAAAATGGCTTTCAAGTGCCCATCAAGTGCTACTGATGCTAGTGTTGTGAACAAGCAACATAAGACCATTAGCCTTGCTACAAAAATGGAGGTTTTAAACCTTTTGAGAGGGAGGAGGAGCTACCCGCCGGGTCTCAGTGAATCGCCACCCTCCTGGCTCCCGCCATACTCCTCCCCTCCTGCCATCCACCTCCACCGCTTCAGTACCCACCACACACTCGCTCAACCACCTCCACCTATTGGTGAGCACCAATACCAATTTAGTAGTTGTATATGCATGCACTGTTTTCTATAGAAATGGCAATGATTTTCTGTAAATGTAATGTATTTCATGGAGCAAAGGGAGGCTCAGGAATGTAACTCCCGTATTTTATCTATTTCTTACGGGGAAAATTTATCTGCTTAACGTTGTTTCGTATAACGTCGCATTTTCAGAAACATAACCCCGACGTTAAGCGAGGACTTACTGTAAGTATAAATGAACAACACTGTATCCCTGCATAGTACTAGCTTGGCACATGGGTACCTAACTCTGAGGTGATAATGAGGTGATTGATAAAGAGTGTCTCTGGTGGGTGAGTGAGGCAGGTGGTATGCCACACAGTATATGATAGAAGCAGTGTGGCGCGGGTTGGCACGTGACACATCACGTACCCACAATGCCTCCACATCAGCTGGGACTAAAACAATCAGGCGTGACGGGCGAAGTTCATCTTGACAGACGAAGGCAATGCCCCCTCCATGTTCATGTGAATGAAGGTGATGAAAGAGTTGATATCCCTCAATGTGGCATGTTTCAGGAACAATTTGTCAAGCTTCGCATATAGCAGCGACGTTGGCGGTAGTTGACTGGACTGTGGTTGCCAGTTTGTCAAATTTATTTGCTAAGGAAGTGAAGTTGGAGAGCAGTAAGGAGGGGAGATCGTACCATATTCGGGAACTTCTGTGTATTGGTACAGTCTGTCAGGAGTAGGTTTCTCTGGTTTTCTAGTGGAGGTAATGGTCCTAATGGGCCTTCTGTTTATGACATCCTTGTTTACAGCTGCAAGCATGGAATACGTTCAATGATTTAAGTCGTGCAATAACACTGCCACCGGGATATCCAGGGCGCGCCTGGAGTTTGTCACTGGTGGGCATCTGTTGATATCTGTTGTTGTGGACGAACAGAAGTGTTTGTCAGCGGCGGGCATAACCTCAACGGCGGCACTTTGAGGGTCACTGACACTAGTTAATATTTGTCTCGTCATAAACACTGCGAGTCCTTGTCTCTGGCACTTAAGAGGTCATCGAAACAGTACTCACGGTATATGTACAGTAAACACCGCGGTGGTCCTTGTCACTGGCACTTTGAAGGTGACTGACAAGGTGTCCATATTCTGGTACAGGTTAACAATCCTTTATCCGAAATCCTTGGGGCCAGAGGCATTTCGGTTTTTGGAATTTTTCGGTTTTCAGAATGGTTAGTTTTTGTTTTTGTTTTTTTTTGTGTGTATTAGCCCACCCGGGCATAGATCACTGACCCACATTGGGGCCTGGGGGTCTAAATTATAATAATAATAATAATAATTCATAGGTCTAGGTCGTGTTTCTCACTTTTGATCTTTTTTTCATTCTTGTATTTCTTTACTGTATTATTATTTTATTATTACAGTATTATTGTTATTATTATTATTATTAATTTTATTATTATTATTATTATTATTATTATTATTATTATTATTATTATTATTATTATAATCATTATTGTTTTATTTTGGTGTATAATTATTAAAAATTTTATTCACTATGAATAATTATTATTATTATAATTATTATTACTATTACATTTTTGCCCCCCAGGCCCCGATGTGGGTCAGTGATCTGTGCCTGGCTGGGCTAATAATCCCTGTTAAAAAAGACAAAAAAAAAAAGGCCCCACAAAAAACTTTCGGTTTTTAGAGCTTTTCGGTTTTCGGAATTTCGGATAAAGGATTGTCAACCTGTATAACACTGCTGTGAATCATGCTTGTTTTTGTGTTTTTCCTTGGAATACACTATTGGTCCAATCATTACTCTGATCACTTGAATGTTTTGCTGATAAATGCCGGTGTAGTGAGGTAGGTAAGGAGTTGGGCTATAATGGGAGGGGGGGATCAGGGCCAAACAGGCTTGGCCTGGCTACCAATCATGATTGCCTGTAGGACACGTCTTGTCTCACTGAGGGCTGACTGATGTGTGTGTGTGTGTGTGTTTACTTTCAAACTTGACAGTTATATGTCTATCTTTCCATCCACATTTGTTTGTTAATTAGTTGTTCAATGCACGTAGACCACCATTCATTTTATACAATTTAATCAAACATAACCAACCATAATTATCTGAAAGTTGATGGCAAAAATCTCATAGCCAAAACATCCGATTGCCCAGACTGGAATTATTCAAGTGGGATGACACCTACGGTAGTTGATCACCAAAACTTTAGTGTTAATGACTAGAACTCAACCATGGCCATAATGTATGACAATGAAGTTTTAAGTGCATGACTGAGTAAAAGAGCGAGGTATACAACTTACATGGTGTTGGAGGATTGTAAGGAAGGCAGCATGGTCATATTGTTCTACTGCCTTCAAGAACTCTTGTTTAGCCATGCTTCACACTTATAATCTGCAAATATTAATAATTTAGAACAAAAGTACTGTACAGGTAGTTCTGCTATAACGCGATAATTGTGTTCTTGTAAAATATCGTGTTATAGAAAATCGCGTAATAGAAATAACAGGGCTTATGGAGAAAATAGGGTTAGGTGCAGATTACTCGAAATCGAAAAACTTTAGTAGTTAGCCTAACACAAAGGATAGCACAGTCTAAATAAATGTTACATTCATATCTAATAATGAAATCATACAGTAAATTTAACACTTTACCTTGAAAAAATATGAATGTAACTTGATGGGGAGAAGGGTGATTTTGAGGTTGATAACATCAAGCTTCTCTTCAAGTGTTATATCCTTTCTTTTACGATAATCACCGGGAATTCTATCATCAGAATGCTTTTTGGAGATATTCTTCTTTACCATATTCACAGTTAATACCACAAAATTGGAGAAATAGTAAGCAAAAATCGCGTTATAGCAAACAAGCGATCGCGTTATACAAATATTGTTCCGAATTCATAAATCGCGTTAGAGCAAATTCGCGTTATCAAAACACGCGTTATAGCAGAACTCACTGTACCTTAAAATGCTTGCAATATCATGAAAGATATTCCCAAAATAATTTATCATATACTGTACCTAACCAAGCCTCATTAAGTTAATACTGCAGTGTCCAACCTCCAGTAAGTAGCCATCATACAGTAAAGATAATAATACAACTTTGGCGGTAAAGCATCGTAACAAAAATCCATCAGAGGTTGTATGGTATCCTGTAAATCTGCATGAAAACCTTACAGTATTGAATAAATATTATTATTATTAGATTATATATATAAAAAAAAAATCAGATTTAAATAAAAAAAAAAACAGACAAAATTGGTAAGAGATATAAGATGATGGGTCAGTTAAAATGTGTGTACGTACTGTACACTACTGCACTGTTTAGCATGGCATGTGTGTGTGTCTGATCAGGCCCTACACTAAATAAAAAAAAGTCATTGTTACTGCAATATGTCCAATATTTTACAATGTGTGCTATCAAAATTTTCTTTGTGATTTAGTACTTTTGTATATTTAAGTAAGGTTAGGTTAAGTAGACTAAATATATCATTCTAAGTGCACGCCATAGCTAGTAGCACCATGAAGTCTCCATTTATACCTTGAAAAAGATGCAGAAGCCATTAACAATATTCAATGAAGAGTAACTATATTAATATCAACATGAAGAGGCCTGATGCATGAAGAAATAGTAATATAAAATGACTCAATAATTCTCCCTAAGCTAATAAAGCTACACAAGATCCAGGGGTGACCAGATTAAATATTTCAAGATCACAAGAGAAATGTACAACACAAAGATTCTGGAGTTGTCGGATGTCATGTGTTTGTCAAGTGAGACCCGTCACAATAGGATGAGAAAAAAAGATCAGGAATTAATATTAGTAAGAATGTCTTTAAACCATGACAGTGGTTCTTGTTTGTTCATCTTTATGTCTGATAGCTATTTTAATATTCTAATTGGTTATGGCTGGTGACGTCATTATGCTTCCTTGATTACTGAATGTGGTCACTTGCAAATACATATTACCTAAGTTAATCTAACCATACCTAACTAAACCAAACCAAACCTAAATTAGTCTAACCAAACCTAACCAAATCAAACAATCTAATATATGCTAACTAAACATAATTACCTGTATACCAAACCTAACCTAACCATACCATATTTGCAAGTGAATGAACAGTACAGTATTCAATAACCTATGACACATAATAAAATCATAAATGCTAACCAATCAGAACAGAGGTACAGTACAAGATACAGTACAGTACAGGGTACAGTATAGTACAGGGTACAGTATAGTACAGGGTACAGTATAGTACAGGGTACAGTACAGGGTACAGTATAGTACAGGGTACAGTATAGTACAGGGTACAGTATAGTACAGGGTACAGTACAGGGTACAGTATAGTACAGGGTACAGTATAGTACAGGGTACAGTACAGTACAGGGTACAGTATACAGTACAGTACAGTATATAGTACAGGGTACAGTATAGTACAGGGTACAGTATAGTACAGTACAGTACAGGGTACAGTACAGTACAGGGTACAGTACAGGGTACAGTATAGTACAGGGTACAGTACAGTACAGGGCACAGTATAGTACAGGGTACAGTATAGTACAGGGTACAGTATAGTACAGGGTACAGTACAGTACAGGGTACAGTATAGTATACAGTATAGTACAGGGTACAGTATAGTACAGGGTACAGTACAGTACAGGGTACAGTATAGTACAGGGTACAGTACAGTACAGGGCACAGTATAGTACAGGGTACAGTATAGTACAGGGTACAGTATAGTACAGGGTACAGTACAGTACAGGGTACAGTATAGTACAGGCAGTACAGTACAGGGTACAGTACAGTACAGCAGTATAGTACAGTACAGTACAGTACACAGTACAGGGTACAGTACAGTATACAGGTACAGTACAGTATAGTACAGGGTACAGTATAGTACAGGGTACAGTACAGTACAGGGTACAGTACAGTACAGGGTACAGTATAGTACAGGGTACAGTACAGTACAGGGTACAGTACAGTACAGGGTACAGTACAGTATAGTACAGGGTACAGTATAGTACAGGGTACAGTACAGTACAGTACAGGGTACAGTACAGGGTACAGTACAGTATAGTACAGGGTACAGTACAGTACAGGGTACAGTACAGTACAGACAGATCAGTGATGGAACAAATAACGGATGAATGAGTTTATTTTCTCCTCGTCACCTTTTATAAGACACAATCATTCTTTGGCAACACCTGTAATAAAATGGTAAATCAATGACACAATGTAAAAATAAAATGGTCACAGCTTAGTAAATAAAATATCAGAAATATGGCCATAAAGCTTAAATTGAGGATTATAGTATTAAACATTTGGTATTATCATTTAAGTCATCCTACGACGTTAGGTTAGGTTGAAATAATGTTTTTCCATTTTTTTTAATGTTTTGAACGATTCTGACCTTCATTTCAAATAGGTGGATGACATAATCGATAATTTTACCATTCATCAATCAGTCATCAAGGGTTGTGACTACCTGGGAGTAAACGATAATCCAAAATTATTTATACTAAATAATAGATATTGCGGTCCGACTAATTACCCAAATGTACCCAAATGTAGCAAAATGTAGCCGCAATGAAGTTAAACAATGGTCCTACATGAATAAATCGGACTGCTAATCACTTCTCGATTAGTATTTGGTGTCACAAAGTCACAAAAAATTGGAAAACTTACTTTCATCTGAGTTGTGTTAGGTTAGGTTAAGTTAGGTACATGCACTCGATCTATTAACTCAGATTAAATAAGTTTACCAATTTTTTGTGACTTTGTGACACCAAATACCAGTCGAGAAGTGATTAGCAGTCCGATTTATTCATGTAGGACCATTGTTTAACTTCATTGCGGCTACATTTGGGTAATTAGTCGGACCCTAGATATTGTAATACTGGACTAACGCTCTACAAGTGAGGCGTTTCCCTGTTAGAAGTACTGTCACCTCATCTGGTCCCCAAGATCATTGAAAGGAGGACCACCAGACTGTACTACGGTGTTTTGTTACCCAGAGATTTATACTACGGTATACTGTAGGAGGGCAAGGGCGACTTAATTGAAATTTATAAACATCTCAAGGGTGCATTACTCACACCTGGAGCTGGAGGACGCTCGCCACAGCTCTAGACTGAAGAAGGTACAAGGCAAACATTTTAGGAGTAAGAATTGTAAACCCATGGAGCAATCTGCCAGAGTTGTGACGGCGAACTGACGCACATAGTCAACAATATCTCACCTCTCAACCAACTCACCTCACAACACCTCACAACTCACCTCACACAACACCTCACAACTCACCTCACAACATCACTACAACTAAAAGTTTCGCGGTTTTTGTTGTTTTCAAAATGTACAAGTTCCAATAATATAGCTGGACTGTACTCAACATTTGTTAACGACAATATATATATATATATATATATATATATATATATATATATATATATATATATATATATATATATAGTAGATAGATGAATTTATAAATAAATATTAATTGGATTTTGAAACTAATTCTTAGGTATGGAAGAAATTTGTCTCCTAAACTGTATTTTATCATTATTTATGTAAGTCATAACGATAGTCTTATTTGCTATTATTTTGGGGGATATTATGGAAATATTATGTAAAATATAAAGATTGATTCATGTTAAAGTATTTTAATTTAAACAATTTTCTTAACTGTCACCAAGAAATGTTTTGATTGAAATATAGAAAACGGAAAAAATGTTTTGGATATCTATGGGAAATCTGAGTTAGCTCGCTCCCTCAAGAAACTCTTTATTATTTTATATATCACTTTGCTGGAAGAAGGAAGACGGTGGTTGTTTAAGTGCCTCGTTTCTTCCAGACTTATTCATATCACGACACCAGTGTTTGCACAGGAGGAAACTGGTTGCGTACCTGCGTTTTGTATGAACATGTTGAACTGTCTATATAAGCCGATTCAATAAATTGAAAACTTGTATGACGATTTTACTGAATAAATAGCTATCTATCTATCTATCTATCTATTTGATCTCTAATACAATCATCATAATTTTAAATCCTCAAAATCACAAACTACTCCGGCTGTAATTTTAGTCGTTTTAACTATCGTTCTCTCACACTAGCTTGATTCAACTTTTAAAACATTGTTCCATCCAATAAATGTTCTGACATTATCGTTATGGATGACTTCACGATGAAAACTGGCTGGTTACGTCTTGCTTGACACATGCTGATGAACTTGGAGCAAAAACCTTTTCCATTATTATATATTTTTTTAAATTAAAGACGCCACTCAGATAATGATAGACCCAGCCACAGTCCTTGATCATTGTGGTAATATAGTCAACACTGTACTTTACCTTTCTGGTGCCTTATAATGTAATGTTACCTGTTGATTACACCTGAGCTTCCATTAAGATGTTACCATCGTGTTACTGAACACACACACACATCACTTTCCAATTTACAGACAACAAATAATGATTCACTTCTGCCATAAGAAAGTTTCTCATGTCACTAGTTTGTTATTCAACCTTCACTTTAGTCTTTATAGAAATATCATGATGGAAAATTTGGCGTCAGTTGTCAGTCACCCACAGGTTGAGATAAGGTCAACCAGATTGTATGTTCTTTAGAGGATGATGAACTGTGATCATGTCTTGCCTGAGGTGACTTAATGAAGTAATTTAATGATCTTTGAAATATTTAAGACCACCAGAGAGGGTAGTTCTTGTCCCGTGGTCATTGGCTAATTGTAACGGAAACCTGGATATTGGTGCAGGCTCAAAGTCAATAAATCAATCAGCGGCGTGTGTCCCTCCTTAAGCTTACCATACCACTGACTGAGTGGTGTGTGTCCCTCCTTAAGCTTACCATACCACTGACTGAGTGGTGTGTGTCCCTCCTTAAGCTTACCATACCACTGACTGAGTGGTGTGTGTCCCTCCTTAAGCTTACCATACCACTGACTGAGCGGCGTGTGTCCCTCCTTAAGCTTACCATACCACTGACTGAGTGGTGTGTGTCCCTCCTTAAGCTTACCATACCACTGACTGAGCGGCATGTGTCCCTCCTTAAGCTTACCATACCACTGACTGAGTGGTGTGTGTCCCTCCTTAAACACCATACCACTGACTGAATACCACTGACTGAGTGGTGTGTGTCCCTCCTTAAGCTTACCATACCACTGACTGAGCGGCATGTCCCTCCTTAAGCACCATACCACTGACTGGTGGTGTGTGTCCCTCCTTAAGCTTACCATACCACTGACTGTGTCCCTCCTTAAGCTTACCATACCACTGACTGTGTGTGCTGTGTCCCTCCTTACCAGCTGTACCATACTGACTGAGCCCTCCTTAAGCTTACCATACCACTGACTGAGCGGTGTGTGTCCCTCCTTAAGCTTACCATACCACTGACTGAGTGGTGTGTGTCCCTCCTTAAGCTTACCATACCACTGACTGAGCGGCATGTGTCCCTCCTTAAGCTTACCATACCACTGACTGAGTGGTGTGTGTCCCTCCTTAAGCTTACCATACCACTGACTGAGTGGTGTGTGTCCCTCCTTAAGCTTACCATACCACTGACTGAGCGGCATGTGTCCCTCCTTAAGCTTACCATACCACTGACTGAGCGGCGTGTGTCCCTCCTTAAGCTTACCATACCACTGACTGAGTGGTGTGTGTCCCTATTACTTCATAGATCCCTCCTAACACTTTATATTGTGGTGTGTCCCTCCTTAAGCTTACCATACCACTGACTGAGCGGCATGTGTCCCTCCTTAAGCTTACCATACCACTGACTGAGCGGCGTGTGTCCCTCCTTAAGCTTACCATACCACTGACTGAGTGGTGTGTGTCCCCAAGTATCGTACATTCATATCTTCCTTACCTTAAACTAACGATCCCTCCTAACACTTTATCTTTCCGCTATTGTTAATTAGTTTGTAGCCCCCTGGAGGTGAATAGCCCCCTGGTGTGGTGGTGAGTAGCCCCTAGTGGTGAGTAGCCCCTAGTGGTGAGTAGCCCCTAGTGGTTAGTAGCCCCGGTGGTGAGCAGCCCCCGGTAGTCAGTAGCCCCGGTGATCAGTAGCCCCTGGTGATGATTAACCCCGTGGAAGTGAGTAGCCCCTGGTGGTAGTGAGTAGCCCCTGGTGGTTAGTAGCAGCCTGGTGGTCAGCAGCCCCTGGTGATTCAGTAGCCCCTGGTGGCGAGTAGCCAGTAGCCCCTGGTGGTGAGTAACCCTGTGGAGGTGAGTAGCCCCTGGTCGTTAGTAGCCCCCGGTAGTCAGTAGCCCCTGGTGGTGAGCAGCCCCTGGTGATCAGTAGCCCCTGGTGGTGAGCAGCCCCTGGTGATCAGTAGCCCCTGGTGGTGAGTAGCCCCTGGTGGCGAGCAGCCCCCGGTAGTCAGTAGCTCCTGGTGGTGAGTAACCCCTGGTGGTTAGTAGCCTCTGTTGGTGAGCAGCTCCTGGTGGTCAATAACCCCTGGTGGCCAGTAGCCCCTGGTGGTTAGTAGCCCCCGGTAGTCAGTAGCCCCCGGTGGTCAGTAGGTCCTGGTGGTCAATAACCCCTGGTGGTCAGTAGCCCCTGGTGGTCAGTAGCTCCTGGTGGTCAATAGCCCCTGGTGGTCAGTAGCCCCCGGTGGTCAGTAGCCCCTGGTACATAATCACAGCACGGTTAAGACTGATATAGTTAAGTGAACAAGCCAGATTCCTGTTATCTTGTTGAGTCAGTTTCTAGATTATTTTATCACAAAGACATAAGTTCTCATCTGGTTATTCTCCTGGACTAACGGAGTTGACAGATAGTGAGGATGATGAACAACAACATCGACGGCGTGTACACTGTACAACAACAACAACAACAACAACAACAACAACAACAACAATAATAATAATAATAATAATAATAATAATAATAATAATAATAATACATGGCATGAACAATAGAATCTACGCTAGTTGTGAGTTAGGTCATTGGTAAGCAGAGAACGGTGGTAGAGTGGATAACAGTGCTAGTATCTTATCCTAAGTGCCCTTGGATCAATCCCATCACACCCTAGTCCAAACTGCCTCCCAAAACTCCTCTTGTTTCCCCTCCTTCTCTTATAAATGACGAGTAATTTCTCTTGTTTTTGTTTCTCTCACGAAGAACCACAAATCTACAGAATATACCTGAAGTTTCCTTCATCAGTTAAAGGTCATTGTCTGCGAGTGGGTGAGTACACAGATCTTCTTCTCACCCAACACAAGCTCTTATCAGTTACTCACATTGTCACTCAGCACAAGATATTTTTATGAATTACTCAGATTGTTGCTTGACCAGTATCTGTTGTAACATGAGTTCAGAATGTGGCCGTTTGTATAATGTTGCATTGTCCTCCACCACCACCACTACTAGTCTACTACTATAAAAAGAGGCGTTTTTTCTCAGCTGAGAAAAGATGCTCCCCGCCCCCTCCTCAAAAGTTACAGCTGATTGGCAGTTGCAAACCAGTCCGATTTTGTCCTGAAGTAATGATGTATTTATAAATGAGTTTATTCATAATCATTGGGATGACCGTTTCTGACGAGAAAGACATTTAGCTAAATTATATAAAGATATATACAGTACATTCATTATTTCAAACATAAGCACGTAGGAAGTTTATCAGAAGTATTATACATGAATTAACCGTTCAACTCTGGTAGCAAATTCACGCTTTCGATGGATGCATTTAATATACTGTATACTTATTTTTACCCACAATAAAGCATACTAAGACAAATTACTTATCAGTAATACTACATTATGCAAAAACAACAGCACCATCACATAATTACCACCAGCACCACCACACAACTACCACCAGCACCACCACCACACAACTAGCACTACCACCATCACACGACTACCACCAGCACCACCACACAACTAGCACTAACACCATCACACGACTACCACCAGCACCACCACCACACAACTAGCACTACCACCATCACACGACTACCACCAGCACCACCACACAACTAGCACTAACACCATCACACGACTACCACCAGCACCACCACCACACAACTAGCACTACCACCACAACTACCACCATCACCACCACACAACTACCACCATCACCACCACCTGGCTACCACCAGCACCACCACACCAGCACCACCATCACCACCACAACTACCACCATCACCACCACACACAACTACCACCATCACCACCACACAACTACTACCAACACACACACAATAGCACTACTACAATATAAATACCACCAGCACCACCACACAACTACCACCAT